ATTTCAGGTTGCTCGATGTCCGTCTGCGACATCGGAGATGGGAACGTTCACAGCCTAAGGATGTCTAGGGCCTAGGGGCCCTTCAGGCCCTTCACATGGAAAGGGGGTGTGTGGACCCCCAGTCCGGATCCCCTGTGTTCGAGGTCGGGTCGAAGGATTCTTGGGATACCAGACATCTCGAGGTCCGCGACGGAGAATCCATCGGCTCCGTGTGCCCACCATCTACCCAGTTTCACGAACATGTGTTTTCCACCCGCCTTTTTGTTGGAGCACGTCCCATCTTCAATAAGATTCATGGACAAGTCTTCATTCATTACAGGCTGGGTGATCACCAAACCATGCATGCTGATTGAATTGTGGAGTCGTCAGAGAATTGAACAGAACGACTTTCGCCTCTCTTTTTGCCACTTTGCTACAAGTCGAAGATTCACTTATGTTTGGTCTAGGCCCAATCACTCCAAAGCTATCCCACCGCTTCTTCGTGCGATGTATCTCATACAATCCCATGCAACAATCCCATCCTGTGTGCCCGGTGCTCCAACGGAAACCCAGCAGTTCAACCCAACATATATGCCCTGGAAGTCCGAAGACTATTTTTGGTGCCACCGAAGCAAAGAAAAAAATACTTTTCAGGTTACCTAGTCAGACCATCTTTCAAATGAATGAATAGTCTTGGACTTCCAGTGTATGCGTCATGTGCCCCAGGGTCCAACTCGTTGTAGACCACGCGGAGCTGCTCCGGTGTACACTTCACCGGCAGCACGCCGCCCTCGAGGGCGAACAAGCTCCTGCGGCGTGCTTTGGGCGACTCGTGTTTCAAGCGGGAGCCTGGACAGGGTGCTCATGCGATATCCTGATCAAAGGCACCATGCAATATCACCAAGCATGGCATCATTTTAGGGGCACCATCGGCCATCCCCAGACGCGCCCGTCTATTCCCAATGCGCCAAGACCGCGGCGCGCTCGCTTCGTCATCCGCCCAGGCACTTGGCGGTGAAGGGCTTCAGACCTTCAAAGGGGTCAGTCTGTGGGCTGTGTTTCGATCGTGAAGAGATCCTTTCGAAAGGATCACCAAAAGAACATCATCAGACCCCAGACATCCCAGACACCCCACATGTGCGATATGAGTGCGATAGCCACCAGCTGGATGATCTCTCAAAATCCCAACCATCCACTTAAAGCCTCCATCTCCGCCCTCCCAACACCACTGGTTACCAAACTATCCCTGTTTCCGCGTTTCATAGCCCCCCACCCAACCAGCTCATGGGTGTGGCTCTATTCCGAATGCCAAGCCGCTGACGCGCTTGGAGTCCTTCCCCTTCTTGGGACTGGGACTTTTAGGACTCAGAGGGCTCAGCGGGCTATCAGGCGCCTCCGCCTTCCTCGGCACGGCAGGAGCCGGTTGACAACGCGGTCCAGCACAGCTCCAGAACGGCAGAAAGAGAGGACACGCAGTAGACTGCCTAGGTTCCTCACTAATGGCCCAAGGAGGACACTCTTGGAGGGCGTTTTTCGGCCCGTGTTCGTCGGCTTGGGCGAGCCTCGAGGTGTTTGTTCTGGAAAAGATCTGGTGGAATGCGTTCGGGATTGGCCTCAAAAAGGTTGGGGTTAAAAAGGCAGATTCGGCAGAGGTTGATCCATCCGGGAGTGAACACACAGCGGGTACCCGTTCGCACCAGGCGTCTCGGCTGCAAGATCGTTCCGCACGACCAAGCGATAGAATTCCTGCAATTCCACGGAGGGAAGTGTCGTTAACTGGATGGAACTGCTACTGATGCACCGAAGGGTGCATTGTGGATGGTCCACTCTTGATACGCCATAGCCTTTCACGAGTCTTTTAAGAATGGTTTATAGTTCGGTAACAGCTAATCAATGGTGCTTGGGAGCCTTTTTGGGGCAAGGATGGGTAACGGGTTCTTCTTGGAGATTCAGTGTTCTGCCTCACCCTGAGCTTCGAAAGCACGTCAAACCAACGACGGTCCGCACTTCCTCCACCGTGCCGGTGGGGACCCTTCGACGGGCGAAAACGTCACAGGTCAAGGACCCTCTGAACGAACACGGTGAGTCACACGGTCTTGAGGCTCTTCGATGTTGGATTCGCTTTGGGCTTGGATTCAAGATCTGCAGCCCTCAAGGTGAAGACATTGACTCCAACTGGTGGAACATTGGCTCAAGTATGCCTTGGCTATGGCTCAACTTGGCTCAAGTAGCATCCTCCTCATCTCCGGGGAAGAACCTGTGTTCATCGAACAGCTTAGTGAAATACCTCGGAAACACGTCCAAGATGGACATGATGGCTTGCATCGCTGGATGTTTTGGACTCTTGGGGGCCATTTGGGTGCAAACAAAGTACACACGCACGGAACTCACGGAACCAATGGACCTAATGTAGACTCTTGATTCATAAACCCCCCAAGATGAGGATTTAGAGGATTGTCCCAATCAAACTGGTAGGGTTTACTAGCGATGGCCTCCAACATAATAGCCATGGCCTCCCAACAGCTCTGCGGCTCCGCAGCCGGACCGGCAGGAGCCCGTCTCCAAACGGACCGGTAACGGGTTGGAACAAGGTCACAGTTTCTTGAGGTAACAAGGTGCATTGCTAGCAAAGGACGCTACGAACGTAGCTAAGTGCATCGCTATTAGTAACAAGAAGCTATGAACGTAGCTATTTGCTAGTAGTAATGCACTTGTTACTAGTAGCGATGCAGCTGCTACTAGTAAATGGGAAAGAAAACTAGCCCCACATCCAGCGCCGTCACCTTTTTCTCGGGGTCTCCTGGCTGGACTACTGAAATGAAGGTCCTGGTTACCTTGATGTCGGAAACAAAACACCAGGAATCCCCCCAGGATAGTGAAGGTGCGGCTGTATTCTTTGACTTGGAAGCTCTATTGTTGAACCCCCATGTGTCCCTCACTTCGACTGCCCGAAAACCACTAAAACCCACACAAACCCTATATTATATAAAGCCTCACATCAACTCACATCCTCAAGACACTTCTGTAAACCCAACTCTCCGGACTGGCATCTTTGCCGATGCCAGGGCTGGTCGACCTGGGGATGTCATGCAGTCCATATTCGATCAACACTCGTCCACCCACCGGTCCACCCATCTCTCCTCGAAGGTTAAGCCTCTGTTCCAATCGGACTTCTGCCTGAAGAAACAGACGACGACCGCCGCGACCGTTTCGCGGCTTCGGTGCTTCTCCTCCTCCGTCGGAAGAGATGCCCCATCAAAGCTGCGAGAGAGAGAGAGAGAGCACCGCCGGACAGCTTGAACATGTTTGAAAGGGGTGTGTGTGTGTGTGTTGGTACGTTTCTTGGGGGGGCATTAATTCTACTCTGAAGTTCTTTGGGAGACCACACCGATGTTTTTTACATCTTTACAATTCTTTACACATCCGCAACCACCCAACGAGTCTCAATTGACCCGGTCAACCCCCTTTGGTGCAGCATGCCCGCACCAACACCCTCACGGTTGCTTCCCGACAGCCTCACACGCCCTTTTTGAGGGTCACCGTTCGCAAGCTCGCACCTCTCCTGCTACCTCTCCTCTCCATCCTCTCCTCTCCAACCTCCGCCTCCACCAGACTTCCGGCCGGTCGAACCTGGAAAACTGAGGCCAACGCTATTAGGTTGGAGGCCATCGCTCTTAGAAACAAAGAAAAAAGATCAAGTCCTACCACGGCGCCACGCTGTGCCACGGCGCGGGAACCGCGTTCCCCCCGCTTTCCGCGGCAACCGCTTTGCGATCGGAGCGACACGTCGGCGACCAGCTCGTCCAGGCTCCGGTCCAGCGGTTTGCCCAAGAAGATGCTAATGGCCTTGGCTTGGCGGAGACGGAGTCGGGTCTGGAGTGGAATGGAGTGGTGGAAATGTGGAAAGGGGAGAGCGAGAGAGAGCGAGAGAGAGAGAGAGTGTGTGTGTGTGTGTGGTGATTTTGTTGGAAACCCGGCGCATGTGTTCGACTTGCGATTTTGTGATGTACCAAAAACGACTGCAGCGATCTGGCAGGCCCTCCAACCGAGTCCAACCAAGTCAGTGGGTCCAACCGAGACTACGTCGAATCCCTTTCGGTCGTCCCCATCGAGCTAGACTTCGATTCACGCACCACAGACTTCGATTCACCACGTCCCATGGAACCCGTGAGGAGCGTCTTCGATTCCTTGAGACCCCGCGCCAGCTCTTCGATGGAGTAGTCTGTGCCTGGGGTCTTTTCTCACGAGCGTGGGCGGAGACGAGGCCGGCGGCTTCGGGTTCTCCCCGTGGCAACTTTCCAGCTTTGCAAGTCTCACACGGCACACGAGAGATGGTCATAGACATAGATAACTTCTTTTGATGGTGAATTCGAAACTGTTTTGCCTAGACTACCAACACCCTGCGCATAATGTTGCCCCTGTGGTTGTTGGTCTTTCACATTCAACCATGTCTTCCACTTAAGACGATCTTGGGCCAAACGCGCCAAACGCGCAGGTGCACACATTTTGACGGGTCCACGGGTCAAAAAGAGGGTGTTTGGTGGTTTTCCTCCGGAGTGTATAGAATCACAATCAAAACCCTCCTTTAACAAAAGTGTACGGGACGCCCGGGCCAAATCAGCCCATGGGATGTTAAGTGATTCCATCAGCCCATCTGGGATGGATGCATCTCCGGTCCTGCACACCCGGAAAGGGTTCTTCTTGCTCATGTGAGTGTGAGAGTGTGAGGCCCTGGAAATCCCGGGCCAAATGATTCTTTTTATTCCCAAGAAGTGGTGGATCATGTCTGCCAGGTGGGATTTCTCATGAGTCAAAATGGAAGTTCGGGGAGGGCTTCTTCCAACTGTGCAACACGTCTGCGGGGGGCTGGTTGTATAGATGAAAATGAAAAGGCAGAAATGTTGCATAGTTGGAAGATCTATGTATAAGGGGTGATAAGAAACGGAGTCTTTCAGGTCATTCTGGGTCCAGCTGCACGACAAGTTTGGTCCCCTTCCGAACATCTCAATGAGGCAGGTGTGGCCAGGGGAACCCCCTTAGCCGACCACCGAATTCCAAGCCCATCCCGGTGAATCCTCGTCCCCTTCCGGTCTGTGGAACGGTCCCACCGGAAGCACCGGAACCACCGGGTTTCACCGGAAGCACCGGAACCGTTCGATTCGCGGCGGTGTCGGGTCCGGTCTCAGGGGCCATCGGTGGGCAGCTTGATCTTCTTCTTCTCACAATCCTCGCGACGGGTAAAGCCGGGTTCACCGTCATCCGGCAACGCGCCGCGCCGCGGCAAAGAGGTCGTAAAAGATGGTGGTGGATGGCTGAGGTGAGAGCAATTCAAATGAAGTGTCATGCCATGCAGCTGATGTAGGAAAAATAGAACAGGGTTCCGTACACTTCCCTATAGGCCCTGATAATTGCGAGTGATGAATGAAACCTCTGCAACAGAGCAAGCCACCTTTTTGCGGTACCTTGAGACCCATAATGTTCGTGCTCTTTCCGCAGCCATGGCTGTCAAGGCACCTGATCTCTGGTGAGGAAGGGAATCCCAAACCTTCATGGCACCGTCTGATCCAAACGACTTCATCTTGCCAAACCCAGGCGAGATGTTCGGCAAAAGTCTCCCGTTTTCCAGGTCTGACAAACGGCAGCTGGGCAAACCAAGAGGGCGATCAGCAAATCAATTTGACATACCAAGACCATGCGGCACCCTGCGTCCTTGCCACTCCTCCAAGCATGTGCCCAGCAACCTCCACTCTCGACCCCCTGCTCCACATCTAACAAAAGAACGAAACACAGAACACAGGAGCTCCATGTTAGGGATGTGCTTGGAGAGGGGTGCCAACATCCGCGGATAGGAGCACATCAAAGCACCCCTAGAGCCCTAGATCTCGTGAGCCCCTTCTCTAACGCCGCCAGGGTGTTTTGGCCCCTCGGAACCCCCGCCCCTCGGTGGTTTCGGTCCAAGGGTTCGGGCCAAAACCATCCAAGCCTTGACCAAGACTCCATGACTCCCACCCAGAGACGCACATCTCTTCACACGACCGGGCCTTGACGGCGATGGCCTCCAGGAAGGCAGAGATCCGCCAGCTGGGCAACTCCAGGAACTCCGAGAGCTTCTCTGCCTGGTCGAGAGTCGAGCATGGAATCTAAAGTCCAAAAAAATTAACAGTTCCTTTCATGTCGAGCATAGGACTCCTATCATGTCCTATCCGTGCTCCGAGTGCGCACCGCATGCTCCGGAACAACGCGACCGACTCACAGTCCCCCCCAATTTGGGGGGATCCAAGATGGTGCGCCCAGAGGGGTTCCCATTTCTTGGCACCCACGGCCCCAGCATTTTTGGGACAAACCACTCCTTCCCATCGCGCTCGAACCAGGGGTGTCCTATGGAGACCTAGACCCCTAGGCCTAGAAGGAGCCGCTTTGCAGCCAGGAGGCGACATCGTGGATGGTCGAGGGGGGGTCTCTCTTGATTGGACCACCCAACTCATCACAACACAACATGAAACCACCAAACTCATCTTCGAGTTCTTAAAGAATCCTGATCTTGATGGGACATGATAGCCTAATAGACACTCATCCACCCAAAGAAGGTCATTCCGCAGAAATATGCCATCAGCCACAGGCGCTGTGTGGGGTGCTGGTCGTTTCCTAAATCATCATAAACAGGCGTTAATCGTTTGGTAGTGGTGAAACTGGTCCAAACATCTCAAGTCTGAGCCTGCGCAAAGCCGGTGGCTCCGCTCCCCATCTCCACTTCGCTGTCGGAATCCTCATTCGACCTGGCAGAGGAAATTTCAATCCGCTCATACTCATACCAAATCATACCAGGAGTTCCAACGGGATGATTTTTAGTCCCGAAGTGAGTGGATGTTGGCACCCCGACTTCCTGCAAGTTCGGTGCCCGCATATGAAGAACCGATAAAATTATCCCTGCAAGAGACCCCAAACAGTGTGGAGTGTGTATCATACGCACTCTTGAATAGCAAGGGGTAGCAGGAGGAAGTGAAGCACTTGCGAGCACGAAGGAGGAGAAAGTAAAAGCGAAGGGAAACAGGGAGAGTAGCACCTGCGAGCACGAAGTAGAAGGTCAGCTTTGAAGGGGAATAGAAGGGTAAAATGTCGAAAGGAAATGTCCAGACACAGAAAAGAAAAGTGCAAGGCTGAAATGTCCAATGTAAGAGTACAAATTAGACAGGTTGAAAGGCAGCAATCGCCAAGCGCACCTTTTTTCCTCGAGTAGAGCAGGCGGGCAAAAAAGGTTCGCAGGAGATTGCTAGCGTGCAAGGTGTTCGGGGCTCGGTTCTCATACGAAACTGCGTCGCGGAATCGCAGACGGAGTATGTTTCTGTTGCAGAGTGTCAGTGTCGCGTAGCCGCAGACAGAGTGGTCGCTGCAGGAAACGGTCGCGTAGCCGCAGACGAAAAGTGAGTAAGAGTGCGGGACGAGAGTCTGTACACTGTCGCGGATCCGCGGACCGTGAGCGCACGAGAGTCATGAGAGTGTGACAATGAATGCGAGCGTGAGTGAAGGAAGAATGCTTGTGAATGAGAGAGAGAGCGTGGGCGTTGTGAGCGCGAGTGAGAGAGCAGAAGACCAAGGAGAGCACATCTCAGAACACAGTCATGAGAGCACACATCAAGGTAGTGAATGAGTGAATGAGTGAGTGAGTTGCCCACAGTGCCGAGTGCACCTGGGTGGAACCACACCAGGAGACAGAGAGCACAGACCTGCAAGCTATACGATCAGTGTGAGTGTTGCCCACAGTGACCTGTCTAGGAGTCTGAGTCACCAGACAAAGATCCAGAGAGCACACATCTGAGAGCACAGTCACAGGAGAGCACAGACCTGCAAGCTGTACGATCAGTGTGAGTATTGCCCACAGTGACCAGAGCGCACCTGGGTGAGGAGACAGAGGTCTAGATGTCTAGGAGTCTGAGTCACCAGATAAAGATGAGCACAGTCACCAGAGCACGCATCAAGTCAGCAAATTCACACTGCGCTGTACCTGTCACGAAATCTGCGCTTCGAGGTTCACATTGCGCTGTACCTGTCACGAAATCTGCGCTTCGAGGTTCACAGAGTGCTGCGCCTGCCACGAAATCTGCACTTCGAGGTTCACCAAGTGCTGCGCCTGCCATGAAATCTGCACTTCGAGGTTCACCAAGTGCTGTAGCTGTCAGGAAATCTGCACTTCGAGGTTCACAAAGTGCTGCACCTGCCACGAAATCTGCACATCGAGGGTCACAGAGTGCTGGGTCACAGAGTGCTGTGCCTGTCACGAAATCTGCGCTTCGAGGTTCAGCAAGTGCTGCGCCCGCCACGAAATCTGCACTTCGAGGTTCACAAAGTGCTGTGCCCGTCACGAAATCTGCACTTCGAGGTTCACAAAGTGCTGCACATGCCACGAAATCTGCACATCGAGGGTCACAGAGTGCTGCGCCTGCCACAAAATCTCCAAACGAGACACATATCCAAAAGTCACGATTCACTGCACCTGTCACGAAATCTGAGCTCCTCGACGATCACCACCGTGTCCAAAGCGCTGCGCCTGCCACGAACACCGTGTCCAAAGCGCTGCGCCTGCCACGAAAACTGCAGTCAAACACCTCCGATCCCTTGCACCTGTCACGAAAAGCACCAAAACACGAGGTTTCCCTTGCGCCTGCCACGAAAAGTGATCACCATGTGCAAAAATGCACACGGCGCCACAACGAGAGCGCAGTCGCGACATGGACTCATCCTCCCACTTCCAGTCCCACTCCAGGAGTCACATTTAAAACAATATTCCTCAGAAGAGACTTCACCAAAAAAAACAAGAACAAAACATCACAAAAACATGCAAAAAAAAACTGTTTTTCGCCTCCTCTTGGCCAATTCTGGAAAGGGAGACCACTTTCTGAACGCCGTTCGGCGTTTCTAGTGATACCCGCTTCGGGCCTCTTCACTTCATTCATCAGCCCGTTCAAGGAGCCGTAGGCGAGCCTCAAGCTGCCGAGATCCCGGCGGGGCGGGGAGCGGGGAACACAAAGAAGACCAGAAGCAAGCTGTTCAGCTAATTTTGGGGGGCAGATTCGCCATGAAGGTTCAACGAAGCAGCCCCAACATGTCCAAACAAGCAGAAACAAAGGGGTGTGTATTGATCTCCAAGAAGGAAATAGACCAGTCTATCTATTGGGCCAGGGTGTCTCCCTATTAACATACGCACCCATTTTGGAGCCAAAGAATGGTGTGCCTCTGCTGTGCGACAGAGTCTCTACTGGGCGATAGATGTTGCCCGTCCTTTTCGCGAACCGGCAAAAGTCGCCTTCCGTGCATCGATCGTCGCCCTGGTTGGACCGCTCTTCGTATCTCCGACTCCGTGCCGTTATGGACGAGAAGGACGAGAGGGTCCTTGTTCTCTCGGAGGCACGGCCCATCGATCCCACCCAAAGCACGGTTCGTCACGTTTCGTCGGTGTCCTCCTTTGGGGGGTTGGAGCAAGACCCATACTTTCACCAACTGGTCACCATGCACAGGGAGATTGTGGCCAGAGAAGGAGAAGACACGGACGGCAAAGGCGTTCGTGGACTGGGAACCAGTTCATCCACCTTTTCAGCCTCAAAGCCTACGGCCCTCACGGCGCTCCAGCACCGCCGAGCCCGTTGTTCGGGGGCGCAGATGGTTCATCAGGATCTGAAAAACCTCTCGTCTGGTCCACACCGATTCCGAGAAAACAACCATCATTCCGAAACCTTTCCAGAGAAATCTGGCGGGTTCCACCAAGCAGTCTGCTTTTGTGTCGAGAAATGAGACATTGGAGCGCTTCTTCACTGTCCCGCCGCATCGCCCCACCATTGCTCACCCCCCAATCTATCGAAGAGCCTTCGCGAACGGACACTGTGGGAATCGGAACCCGGGTCAATCAGGTGGCACCCTCCGTGGCGGCCGTGGTTGAAGCTGTTTGTGGGACGGCGAGCTGTATTGGCAACACGTCGGATTAGAACGAAAAGAACGAAAAACACGGTGGAGCTATGGGTAGTTACTGGATTGTGCTGCTGAACTGCGTGCTGCTGGACATCTTTCATTACCTGTACTATAAGCTAAGTACCAACATCCAAAACATGTTGCCTATCCCATCAAGACAGGAGCCAGAATGAGCCAGATGGGTTCTATGTCCATTCATTACTTGCTCTGATCCGGAAAAGTCCCAGCCACAGGATCCGCCGCCGCACCACCGTGAAAGGCACGCTGGGCGCCACCTGTCGCGGCGACGGACCAGTGGGGTGCCGTGAGCCTTGAGGCTTTGCATGGTGCTGATGGAGGTACTGATGGGGGTACTGAGGTTTGTCTTCTAGGGGTTCAATTTCCTGAGGCCCTGAAAACCGCGGGAGGGAGAAACAACATATATGTACTGGGTTGCAGTTTCTGGCCAGGTCAGACACTTGATGCGAGTTGGAACATCTGAAAACTCATGGCGGGGGCCTCATGTAAGTCACTCAAAACGCTGTTTTGGGCCCAGAACTCCTTCCCCCACACGTGACCCAAACCCAACTGCTTCGCTTTCCACCAATGTCCTCCCCTCAACCGAAACCGGGCCCAACCCAGCGCCTCGGCGAAGGCTTGCTTCACTTCGGCCACCGACAAAAGCCCCGAGCAGTTGATGTCCAAGCCTTCTTGCGGCTCGGCAGCGGCTCGCTCGCGCTGCGACTGAGACTGCCGAGCGGCTCGGCAGCGTGACGAGGTTGTTTTTGGAGCACGTGACGAGACGCGATGTGGGCCCCCACATGGGAATAGTGGATGGTACGCTCACCTTGGGTGTCTGGACCTAGTAGGCTTGTAGGTGGTAGTAGGTGGTTGCTGGTACAAGTTTGGACATACCTGGACCATCCTGTCTGGGTCTGGAGATCCCGGATAGCAGTGTAGGGTAGTCCATTGAACACCCAGACAGGATGGTCCTGGAAAAAGAATGCGGCCATGTATGCTCGTGCCAGAAGAAGCACCTGGTTTGCTGAAGTTCATGGGCACCTTTTTTGAGGCGATCCCAAAATCTTGCCTGACAATCTTCATCCAATCCGTCCGCGCCTTTGAAGAAGCGCTGAAACTTCCGATCCGTCTCCTGAGCCGAAGCAACTCATCTGACAAACACTAAGACCCACAAGGCAAACATGGCGGGGCATCTTGGCCAGAGCTTCTGCGAAGTCCGGATCTCGAGTTGAAACACGTTGAAACTTGAAACCATACTGTCTTGAAATGACTTCAAATGACCAGGTCCCCCAATCTTCCAAAGACAAAACTCCCAAAGAATCTCCAATCATCCCAGACTACAGACCAGCAGTTGTGTAGGCAAACACCTGACAGGCGGGCAAGAGGCACCCTGCTATGCCAAGGATCCGTGTTGGGCGCTCTAAGCTTCTTCTCTGGTTCCAGGGGCACCTGGCCAAAGTCTCCAGTTCTACACCAGCTGCTGCAGGACTTGGCTGTCAGTCATGCCACCCTCAAAGTCCGGTTGATGCCCCGCCCCACCACCAATATCAATTCCAGCAACTAATGCGGCCAGGATCTAGCATTGGAGCTGAAAGAGTATTGAAGTAGGAATATTTGCATATGCACAGTCCCGAGTTTTCTTTCATGCAATCCATTGTTCAAAGGTTGGCTCAGGGCTATTGTTGGTTTTAATGCATTAGGTCCCTAACGATCTGTTTGGAAATCAACAGATCCGTATCTGTGTGAGACGTTCCCTTTTGGGGTGCTAATGTTGGTTGATGCAGCAAAAGAACTAGTTTGTAATAGTTTGTAGTCGTTCCAAGCCCAAACAAGAAGGGTTAACCTGGTCTTCTTCTAGTGCTAAATCCTCAGCATGATGAATTTTTGGTGTGCACCATAGTGAATCACTGAATGGTGCTTGGAATGCGGCTATTTTTTCGATCAAGATCATCCCAAGCTTTTCCCTGTCCACCAGCATGATTGACCCATCCTTGGCTCCTCTTTTGCTCCGACGCTTTCCCCACCCAGTCGCACCATTCCTCGCCTCTTCATCCAACAGCACCACCGGTCGCCGTCGCAAGCGCCTCGGCTCCGTGCGTTCTGATTCCAGACGTTAGACGTCGCCCTGGAATTATCATGGAATTATCATGGAAGTGGAGTTCACCACCGGGGTTGAGGTCCGGCAGGGAACTCTGGGCGTGGATGGTCGTGGTTGAGGTCCGGCAGGGTTTATGACATGACATTTCAACAAGGTCCTCCTTGCACCGCCTGAGGCGTGCCCACCAAGTGACAAGCGCGCTGAGTGCAGCGCCCATCAACTCGCTGATGCTGATTGGTGATCCTTGAAACCTCTGATGATCCTTAATTAAGAGGGTGGTGGGAGAACACCCCACAATGTGAGGGGCTTCTTTGTTGAAGTGCATCCCAAAAGAAGAGGCCATGTGAACCCAGAGAGGCAACAAAAAGCACGACCAGCAAGTGGTCTGTTTTGTGTAGGTGATTCGGTGATGTCTCTCTTTTTTTTTCCGTGCTGCCCGAGAGGCCACGAGCAGGTTTGGGTCTGGTCACCCACGTTCGGTTGTCTGATGCATATATTGTTTCTACTAGCTTCTTGTTCCTAGTAGTAAGGCCCTTGTTCCTTGTAGCGATGCCAGGAGCCCCTAGTAGTGTCCTTCTGATGCATTTCTTCCCCCCAACACGCCAGGGTTGTCGTGCGTACTGGTTTTGGCGTACACACCGATCGCACTGCAGTCCAATCGACTCATCAGACTGCCGTAGCATGGAGCCCAAGTACAGAAACCTGGGCGGAACCGGTGTATTTTTTTCGGGCGGAAGCCCCGAAACAGTGGACGCTACGAACGGGGCTGCTGGCCTTAATACGAACGGAGCGATCGGACGCTACGAACGGGGCTCCTGGCATCACTGTACTAGTAGCATTCTTACTACTAGTAACAAGAAGCTACTACTTGTACAGCCAGTGAAGCGGGCGGAACATTCGAAGGGCAGGGAGTGCCAGTTGGGCCAGTTTGGCCGAGGAGTTCGGGTCTGAAACCCAACCGTGAAACCCGAGCCGTGGCTAAAAGTACTTCTCTCGGCTCGACTTCAGAGGGAACTCCTGTAACCAGTCCCTGACTTCGCACCCCGATGGGTCTGGAAGCGGCGAAGGAGTGAAAAGGATGCGCCGCATGCGCCGCATGCGCCATGTGCTCCGAGCTGGGAAGACATAGATCAACCTGGTCACACCACTTGGAGATCTAACACAACTGGAAATTCCCATGATGTCTTCACTTTCCAACATGAACTACCCTGAACTACGCTTTTGACTTCGCGCCCTGACCGACCGTCCGGCTCCTCCACACTCCACGGCTCCTCTACGCTCACCTCGCACCTTCGCCGACGGACCTCCACCCACCAGGCCACTGCTGTTCGCTGAGATCCGCGGAGCTGGCGTCCTTCTCCGCCGCAGCGGCGAAACAGGCCTCCACACGACCCATCGCGGCCAATCCGTCCGGTCCGCGCCGTGACAGGCCAGACAGGCCCGGCGTGGGCGGAGACTAGGAAGTGAAGGGGGGTGCGCGGACGCGTCCCGCGGACGCGTCCCGCTCGGACGTGTCGCATGATACTTGGTTGCAGCACAGTGATCTCTGTGAACCTTCGATCTTCCTGGTGTGACCCACTTGGAGATCCCCAAAAGAACCCGGAAACGCTCCCGGAAGCAGAGCAACTCAATTACAAGGGTTACCCCTCAGACTCATATCTGGGTTCATGTCCGTCTGCGTCTCAGAAACGTGCCCCAAAAACTCCAATTGAGCAAAAACCAATCGGTCGGTACTGGGCACAAGCCTCGGGCCAGTTGGCCCCAGGCTTACGTTCAGAACTTGATACCCTGGAAGTCCCTTCGACTACTTTTAAATTGTTGAGCTGTTTTCGCAAAAAATCCTTAGAGGTGGACCATGCAAATTATTCTCCTTGAAAATTATTGTGCTTGGAAGCCTAAAAAGAGATCTTAGGTTGGAGGCAATCGCTAATGCGTTGGAGGACATCGCTAGTAGGTTGGAGGCTATCGCTAGTAGGTTGGAGGCCATTGCTCTTAGGTTGGAACGCTAGCAGGTTGGAGGCCATTGCTATATGGTTGGAGGCCATCGCTCTTAGGTTGGAGGCCATCGCTAGCAGGTTGGAGGCCATTGCTATATGGTTGGAGGCCATCGCTCTTAGGTTGGAGGCCATCGCTAGTAGGTTGGAGGCCATTGCCATTCGTCTCCTTATATAAGTCTTTTCTGCTATTAGCCTAGGGCATATGTAACCTGATGTTCGTTTTTCGTTTCTTTGCTCCGGTCGTGAAGTGATCTGCTCGAAACAGGCTCTGCCAGGGCGTCTTCAGGTGGATCTACGGTTGGAACATGTTTCAACCAGTTTGATTGGAACCGTTTGTTGCAGACCATGTTGTTTTTCAACAAATCATGTTTAATGAAACAGTCTGTTTACATTGGAACACTCTTTATATATGTGGTTACAGGTTCTGAAGAACCTGCGGTGAGAAAACCTTGTTTCAAGGTCCCTGGGTCTGAAGAAATGGGGAGACCCACAAACCCAATGGGGTTCTTGAACATATTTACCATGTAGTATGTCTACAATATAGTACATTCTACCGCCCACACACACAAACTTGCGGACTTGATCCATGTCACGCCCCTCATAGATCCAAATAGTACATTCTACCAAAACGTCCTGTCTGTGTCAAACGAAAAAATCCCACCCCATGCCCCCGCAACGGTGGCTGTAGTTCTGCCTCCACGTTGGGGAAGTGGGTATAGACTTGACGTCGGAAGGTCCTCAAGTCCTGCGGAGGGGAGTCATCCTCCACCGTGACGCAGGAGTTGCCATCGAAGTGACGACAGTGCCGGTCATTCCCGTTCGCATGGGAGCAACCAGAGAAGTCTGGTAGACGAATCGTGACCACATGAGTTCCCAGCGAAGTGGGCCACATTGGGCAAAAGAAAAATACAAAAAAGGAAAAACTCCTTTTCTTCGCTCCAGGTGGGTCTGTTGTGCGAAAAACATCAACTCACGGGATGGGAGCAGATGTGGAGAGCAGATGTGGAGAGGGTTGTCCGCCCCCGGAACCTCTTTCCAATGCAGATGATGACCCCATGAGTTTGGACAGTTTGGATCCTTTGCTGAAGCTTGGATCTGGCCCAATTTGGGACAGTTTGAGCAAAGCACTTCGGAACGGGTGCACTGGTCCATGCTTGCCCAGCCCGGGGTCTGTTCTCTTTCTTTCTCCAATCCACTCGTTTGACTTGACACACAATCCACCACTCCCAAGTAATTACGTGGCTCATGAGGCTCATGACTGAAGTGCCTCCTTTGCTCCACCCTATTTCCACCCTGCAAGTCCCAGCCCCCACCCCACCCCACCACGATCGTGCCCGTGCCTCGATCGTCCCCAACGCGACGGATGCGTCCTGATCGTGGACGCCCACCACTCGCATGACCTCAGAGAATCCAAGGGTCCGGGATGGCTCTTGCTTGGACCCTGCACCTTCGATGGGTCTATCCCATGCAGGTTGACCAGTGGATGATGGTTGGTAGTCAGACATGCGTCCTGAGTCGGTCTAAACGTGGCATACACCCCGCTCCTTCCGACGCATTCTTTTCGACCCCGAGGGCTTGTTACACCCCTGCGCATCGCGGCGGATCGAAGGATTTGGTGGAGGTTTCTTTCGGAAGAGTCATGGAGAATGAAAGAACTTCTGCTTGACTCAAAGCACACAGAGACCTTGGTTTCGGTCTCCCGTTCAAACCCTCAGCCCACCCCCGAGCGCACTCGCAGATGTGCATGGCTCGAGATCGGAACCGAGATCGCGAGCCGATGCGACCAGCTGGCGAGGTTGTACAAGGAGACGCCCACTTCCTCCTCTCTCTGCTTCTGATTCTTCTTCTTCTTCGCAGATCCTGCCAGCCTCGGTGGAAGTTGAAAGTTGAAATGAAAATGCCCCCGTTCGAAGTGTAGGTCCTCGAGGAGGACCTGCTTCATCAAACAGGCTCAGTTTTCCAGAAAAAAGGGAAGAAACATCCTGCGCAGGGCCTCCCGTCAAGGGACAGCTTGAAGAGAAACCCCGCATCAGCCCTCTGCAGGTCATAGGCAGTCTTGAAGCCCTCGGCCGACTCCGCCGTTCCAGCCTGCCGAAACGGAACGCGTTCGGTCGGCCTAAGCCGAAGCTCTCCGAATTCTGTACAGAAAAAGGGATGAAATGGTCCGCTGTCATTAGCTACCAAACAGTCATGGGCCGTTCTCCGAATTCGGTCTCTTTTGACAGATTCCATGCTTGCCAGCAACCAGAATATCTTGGCAGCGTCCCTGCGGATCAAAAGTGTGAAGACCACTTGGAACACGTCGATGCTCGTGTGGCGTTCAATAGAGACTAGCTAGGGATCTATCCTTCTCTCTTTGCTTCCGGGCTTTCAACAAACCCATTTCCCCCAGATCGGAGTCTTCCGCGCTTTCCCAACCGCACGCGTTCCCAACCACCCCACCTGCATACAAAGCTCCATATAGGCACGCAGGAATTCCGTCTGCCCAAAGGCGCCACTCTCATCCTGGTCGTTTGGCTCCGGATGAGGTGGAAGGCATACTAGAATTATCTAGAAATTACTATTCAACAACCGTCACAAGAGAAACACTCTTGACAAAGGATGTCTTTTAGAGGCATCTGAGGTTTTTGAGGCCATCGCTACTAGGTTTTTCAGGCCATTGCTTCTGGGTTAGAGGCCATCGCTGAAACTCAGTTACAGTTTCTTGTTCATCCACCCACTCGCAGTCCACTCGCTGTCTGCCGATCGGTGCCACCGGATACCCCGTCTCCCCGACGCGGACGCGTCAGACCTGTCAGGCTCCTCCTTTGTTCGCAGAAAAAGACCCCCCAGCCCCCCCCAAACTTGCGCGATCGAAGGCCGTAAGACCGCTAAGAGGAAAAGGGTCATGTATCATCCACACCTGTTTCGCGGCGTCCTTGTCCAGCCACCGAAAGCCTTTCAGAAAGGTCTTCAACCTCTGCAAGAGGAGCTGGCCGAAGTTGGCCCAAAGCCCATCAATCTCTCGTGCCTGAGGCGGACTTCTCGTCCGGAGAAAACACTTTGAGAAGAACCGGAGGTTGGGTGGGATGGTTGGCCTCCGACCTCCGGTTTCACCACGCTTCGACGTGGTGGATCCGAGGGATATGGAAGGTGTGGATGGTGAACCACGATGGTGAAGAACAGTGAAATGAAACGCTGGTCACACAATAGGCAAAGACCCCTCTCGTGCCTCTCGTGTCTGTCATTGTTTAAATTCGATGCACAATCTATTCTGGTGCTAGCAGTATCTATTCTGAGCACACGGACCCAAACTGGCCAAAAACATGGAACAAAAGGACTGCAACACGGACATGGCCGAACTCCTGCAATTCATCACCGGTCCGTCCCCCTTCTCAGTTCTTGATCCCTTGTCCTTCCCATTTTTTCTTTCTGTTCCAAGTCTCCAGGGCTTGCAACACCCAACGTCGCAGAACCAGAGGAGCCCGGGCACCCAGCAATGCGTCCACACGAGGCTCACCCGACAGCAGGAAGGTGCTGCTGGAGAGGAGACTCAGTAGCAAATCCTAAGATCCGGTGCCGTGCTCCAGTCCTGAAGACTGGAGAGTCGCACTCTCACCATGGCATGGATGCAAAAACGAAGAACAATCCAAACGTGCTGGTCACCTGGAATGCGCCCAGGGCGCCCAGCTGAATTGGGACAAGTTTCAGCGAAAACCCATGACAAAAATGTACACGAAAAGATCCTTCAATCAGCCAATTCATGTAGCCCATGTTCCATTCGCCTCAGCCTCCAAGTCCCATGCTTGGTCTCGGGTCGTGTTGCCCCCAAACAAGAAACTCCCTACTCTACTGGAGAGGAATCCTTTTCTTTTTCATTCGCTGCCTTCGGAGACCAGTGTGCCGCCTTGCCCTATGGAGAGGACCAGGAGCCGGGAGCCCTTCGCAGCGTCTCACCTCGTCTCGTCTCGCTTCGTGCCCAGGCGCCGAGGCCTCCGGCTCTTCCAAGTTCTGACGAAGGCTCTGCAGCATCGAAACCTGAGCTGCTCGGCCGCACCCTCCGAGGAAACCAGCACCCTCCGGTGAGGCATGAGCAGCATGGTTCAGTGGGTGCCAAAAGCGCAGGAGCGCCTTTTTTGGTTCGTGCGCCGACCCTGGGGATTGGACACCCAGTGAAGGAGTTCCCACCTCGGTTGCAAGGCCTTCCATCTCAGTGCGGAGTGATCATCTTCTTTCCCGATGGCCAGTCAGACTGGTTAACCGGTTGATTGGGACACATCCTAATATCAGACCTGAGTGAGTTCACCCAACGACGAAACGCTGTTTCAACTGTACAAAAGGCAGTTGAAAAATCGTCGGCATGCAGGGGCAGGTCTTTCACGGCCGTGAACACGGCCTTTCACGGCATTTCACCGCCCTAGCGGCGACAGACTCTTCTTCTCGATCCACTGCATTCATGGAAGCTTCCAATGCCTTCAGCACCTGCGAGCGCTCGAAGACCACCGCGGAGCTATGGGCAAGTGTGGCAGATCGCTTCCCAGTTCCTCGAATTTGAAGGTGTGAAGCAGAGAGTTAGGCCAGAGGTCAGACAAATGCCCTCTTCAACCAGTCATTTCTCCTCGGTTTCTTGATGCTTCTTCAACCATCAGTCGTCTTCTTCGAAGAAGTGGGGTGCCATGGCTCCTTAAAGCAGACCACCACCTTCATGGGTCGCGCCCGGAAAGGGGTTGGGCGAACCGTTTTCAGGTGACCTGGGGCGAAACGAAGCTTTTCGGAGATGGACCAAACCACCCGTCAGACGAGGGATTCAAAGGGAGAGACCGTGTCAGACGGGAGATGAAAACGGGACAAGAAGAGTGAAAAGAAACTTCCTGGCAGTCCGTAACCAACCAGTTTCAAAATGGGAACGATCTGGTTTTTGGAGTGTAAGACCCTTGGAAAACCACGGTTGTTCGGGATTCGGGCAAAAAAAAATCAACGGTGTGTGGGCCACGACTTCTTGGCCAGAAACTGGGGGGCAGGATGAGGATCACCATCTTTTGGAGGTTTCGGAACTCTAAAAACGCTCCTCCCTCGGTTCCGAAACCAAGGACAGCCATGCCAACACCGAAACAGCCATGCCTCCCTTCTTCGCCACTGACCCGCTTCCCAAAGACCCAAACAACGGCGCGGGATGTTTATCTTCGTGGGGAGCCGTCACCGAAAGCTGAACAATTGCAAACACCAAACGGACGGAGGACAACGCACCAGGACGGACCAGGCCGCACCGCGCACCGCGCACCGCACCGCACCGCACCGCCTGCCGCACTGGTGTGGGGACGATTGGGGAAGGCGTTGGTGTGGGCAACCTCCGGATCTCCTGCCCCGCTGACGCTGCGGCCGGTCTCACGGTGCGGCGCGAGAGCCGGCGGGTGGGGGGCAGCTGTGCTGCCAACTGGTAGGCGCGGGGCGGAGTGGTTTCGGAAGTTGGACCCACAACTGTTCCACAGATCATTGGTGTTTTTCTGCACAAGGGCGTAACAAACCAAAAGAGGAGCCAAAAAGGAGGTTGATGGAGAAAACGGGAGCCCCTTCACAGGGATACCTCTCACGAGTCTCACGAGAAACTCTGAACAACCTGAGATTCTGAGATAAAAGTATTGAACGATTCACAGAGTGATTTTGGCTTGGGAATCTCCGGGTTTATCACAACAATACAGCTATCTTGAACAAAGTGGCGAAAGATGAGGAAAATGCTTGAACGAAGGTCTGACAGCAAGGCGCTCTAAAGACAGCAAGACCTCTTTCCCGATTTTTTGGGTAAGAACCCACAGCTCCAACTGTTGCAAACAACACACCCTTCACATTTTGTTTCCGGGACTCTTCCAAATCATGTCCAAATCCCCTGAAGTTCTGCGAACGAATGGAGCGAACGTCTGCCCCACCTCAGAGGACAAGGCCTCATCAAGTGCCTGATCAGGGCAGACACTGGACGACCTCCAGTATATAGGAAAAGAAGAAGGAAGAAAAGGAAGAAGGAGGAAGAAGAAGAAGGTACAGAACCCCCGTATTATATATTATATGTAAAATATTGTAAAATACATTTCATGCGGTCGCTTCTGGGGAACCTGTCAGACCCGGTTTTTTCCATAGGAAGCATCGACAGCACTGGTGCCACCAGCGTGCCACCGTCGTTTCAACCCCCCACCGTGATGTGTTGTGACCAAGTCAACAGAACAGTGGCAGAATGTCTTTCTTTTCGGGGAATCGTTTTTTTATATGCGCATAATGTATAAACTCTGGATGAACAAAACCATGCGCAAACATGGATTGTAAAAGATTTTCCTATGGAGTTTTGAAACACAATTCATCAGATATAAAGAGTCTACATTGAACCGCTTCCCAGGGTGTCTTTTCCTCCAAAAAGGAATTCACTTTGACTCGCGTCCAACTCCGCGTCCAACTCCGCTTGTTCGGACCGTCGGGAGCGAAACCCGCCTGCACGGCCACCGCGACATCGCCAAAGAGTTGTGTCATGTCACCATGGCCACGAGCCGGAAGAAAAAGAACGCTTAAGAAGAACAGTGGCCTGATGCACTTGTTGCTAGTAGCTTCTTGTTCCTAGTACGGCCAGCCCCGTTCGTAGCGTCGTTGCTCCTAGTAGCGATGCCAGGAGCCCCTAGTGGCGAACATTGCTCCTAGTAGCCTGATGAGGGGCTGAAGCAAGTTTGGCAAGGGCCACTGATGGAATCAAGGACAGGTGAGGACCTCGGTGAGGATGGTGAGCATCTCGAAAGCGGCTTCGAGAATAAACCAATGTCTTGTTTACTAGACAATACTAGACTCATTTCTCAACCTCGCCGCTGAGGTATTTTGAGCGTGCCTGTTGGGCACTCGCTCGCATCATGGAACGTCATGTCACGGCCACGAGTGCAGTGTGCAGTGTGCTTCTTAAGCATCTTTGTTAAGCATTTTTGGGTGGCTACACTCTCGCCTTGGGCCAAAAGCCAAGTTTGACGGGTGTTCACCAAAGCACCTTTGGCTGCAGAGTTGGACGGAAATCCACAATCTTTCAAATATGTTCAACAACAACAACAACAGTGGTTGTGTTTGTGTTTTGTGTTGTGGGATGCGTTCCGCTGCAGAGTTGGAAAGTTGCGTTCCGCTGCTTCATCTTCACTCCCATCGAGTCGGCCGAACTGCTCGAGACGCGTTGGATCTGAAGCCCATGTGCATAGAAAACACCTCTGGCCCTAACTCCTCACCCCCCCCCTCCACAGTAGTCTTCGACATCTCCATCGGTCCATACGAAAAGGCTTGACATTCTTGTGACTGCGGTCGCTGTGCCAGTCAAAGTCCATCGCCTACACAGCCATGCTGGCAAGTCACATCCCAGGATCAGCGCAGCTGATTTGAATGTTTTCGAAGAACAGCTGTTGAGCAAGACTTCTTTATCAGGTTCCTGCTTGACTCCAGAGCAGGATTGTGTTGTTTGTTTTAAGAAGTGGGCCATTAGGTTCCTTTAGAGGTTTATATATATTCTCAGTCAAAATGTTTTCTGTCTCAAATCGTTTCTCTCCTTCATGGGCTCTTTGTTCTTGGTTTATAATACTGGGTTTGTTCTAATGGCGCACGGAACTCGTTCATTGCCAAACATCCAATGCTGCAATGCCGATGTCGGGACATAGGATAGACTGCGCAGGAACGGAACCAATTCCTCCGCCTCCGCAAAGAAAAAGGCATGCCCTCAAGCCCATCACTTGTGAAAGGCCAAGAGGGTGGACTGCCCGTCACAGCTTCGAAATGCTGTTTTTCTACCAATTGCTGCTCGGTTCTAAACACTTTCACCTGCACACCTGCATGTCGAAACTGAACGAGCACTGCCTGCGCACCTTCCCCTGCAAAGAGGGGGGGGCACCGCAAGGCGTCCGGTGATCTCACATCAACCCACTGAGGTTGGTTCCCGTTGAGCTTGCGTGGCGAAGCTACACAACTGGTTTACCAAAAAGGCAAACAGAAGAGCCTCAATAGAGGCCTCTTGGATGACGATTGTTCGGGTTGCTCGAATGAGTTGCTCCTTTGCCGTGAAAACCACAAGCAAATGTTGTACTTTCATTCAGCTGCAAGCAACATCTAACGCCAACTGTCCACAGGACATCTTGCCCTTGAGATCAAACAAACACCTGCCTTTACAGTTTTCCAGTGTTCTAACAAATATACATGCACATGTCTCACCTACGCCAAGCACCTCAGTCGGAAGGCCCAGCTGCCTTCTTGGCATGGCCAAAAATCCACGCGGTGATTGGAGCCACAGGCTTTGGTTTGAGATGTGTTCGTTTATTTTTTGGGGGGTTCAACCAAAGCACCCAAAGAATAGTTTAAAAAAATGTTCATGAACTACGCAAGGATCGTGGTTGCTTTGCGCAGTCCACATCAGGTTGTGTTCCGCCTCGGGGTGAACACATGTCTTGCGTCTTCCGCACGCCATCTGATTTTTGCATCTTCAAACGTGAGGGGATAGTTCCGTCCCAGACGGCCCCTCTTGACTGCTGGTGTGGGCAACCATCGCTCGTGAAAGTCCACGAACCTCAACCGCTCTATGAGACAGAATCAGGATCGGTGAAGAACAAATTCAAGCATTGATAGTTAAGTCATTGGGTTGGTTCACGCTCTATGTGGTCTAAGTGTGCAAAGACTAAGCACATCATAAATTTTTGACTAATGGTTCAATGCCGAGTCTCGTGCAATGCAACATTGTGCACTTAATTGCTTTACTTCGGGTGATCCCCACCATGGCATTGACCCCTGCTGAAAGCCGACGGCTACATTGCCTCAACATCACCAAGAAAATGTCGTCTATCTTACTTGCATATATACTGGCATATATGGTTTCTATCTGGCAACTTTTCTGGCAGTCTATGTGACACAAGTATATATATATATATACCTGAGAAGGGGGTGGCCAAAGCCAGCAGCCGCCGTCGGCAGCTTGCGAGTCAGCGGTGCCGCGGATGCGGGGGGGGGCGTATGTAGTGGTGATGGAGGGCGCAGAGAAGCAAGCCGGGCGGCTTTGGCATAAGTTTGGTATGAAAGAAGTAATGAAAGAGAAATGCGATACGTATGTTGGTGTAGGTCAACATCACAAGGCAATGGAATTTGTTTGTCACACGCAGGAAGGTATGCATCTTATGGAAGTTGGAAAGCGACATCAGCGTTAGCGAAGGGGAAATACCGTCTGAGTTCGAGTGGTGGGATACCACGCGCGCGCCGCAAGAAGACCTTCTCCATAGTCAGCGTCGCCGCGGGCACGCAGGCGCGTGGGCGCGCAGGCGCGCGCCCGCGCGCGAGTACGGCATGCGCTAGAAAAGAAGCAGATATGTTTCTGTTACGTTTGGAGTGTTTGAAGTTTGCAATGCATACTGCGGCACGTCGAAAAGCGGCATTCGTTGATTTGGAAGAGTGAACGGGCACGTCTTAGCCGGGACACGGACACTTGATCCCGTGGCGCAGAAGGGGAGGTCCAGCGGGAGTAGCTTGGGCTAGCAAATGAGTGAGGATTTGTGCGCCTATCGATGCACATGCCTGGACTTGAGTGAGTCATGTTCTGGCCCCCCGATCCCATCCAAAAAACAATCCTTTTCCTTTAAAGGGCCTTCATTAAACGATCCAAACACCTTCTTTATTCCCCAAACAGTTTACTGTTAGGGGTTCTCAATGCTTTAAAGAATGGTCGCCTTGGTGCTGGATGGTCTGGTCGGGTTCCCAGCCGGCTTGTCTCCCACTTCCTTTGTCTCCCAGTTCTTTTCAGTCGGGGTTCCCGGCTGGCTTGTCTCCCACTTCCTTTCATTTGCCTCCCAATTCTTTTCATTTGTCTCCCAGGCCACTTCCTTTCATTTGTCTCCCACTTCTTTTCATTGTCTCCCAGGCTGGGTGCTTGTGGTCGGGTTCCGGGCCGGCTTGTCTCCCACTTCCTTTCATTTGTCTCGCGCTTCTTTTCATTTGTCTCCCAGGCTGGGTGCTTGTGGTCGGGTTTCCGGCCAGCTTGTCACCCACTTCCTTTCATTTGTCTCCCACTTCTTTTCTGCTTGTGGTCGGGTTCCCGGCCGGCTTGTCTCCCACTTCTTCTTATTTGTCTCCCACTTCTTTTCATTTGTCACCAACTTCTTTTCATTTGTCTCCCAGGCTGGGTGCTTGTGGTCGGGTTCCCGCCCTACACTTGCTTTCATTTGTCTCCCGGTTCTTTTCATTTATCTCCCAGAAATGCTTCATTTGTCTCCCGGGTCCGTCACTGCTGGTGCCATGTAGCATTTCTATTCATTTGTCTTTGTCACTGCTAATTTCCGCCCTTTTCCGCTGGCCACGCAGCATTTCTATTCATTTGTCCCCCAGGCTTGTCACTGGTGGTGTCCGCCCTTTTCCGCTGTTTCTATTCATTTGTCTCCCAGGTCTGTCACTGTTGGTGTCCGCCCTTTTCCGTTGGCCATGTAGCATTTCTATTCATTTGTCTCCCAGGTCTGTCACTGCCAGTGTTTTGTCTCCCAGGTCTGTCACTGCTGGTGTCCGCACTTTTCGTCGGCCATGCAGCATTTCTATTCATTAGTCTCCCAGGTCTGTCACTGTTGGTATCCGCCCTTTTCCGCTGGGCATGCAGCATTTCTATTAATTTGTTTCCCGGGTCTGTCACTGGTGCTGCCGCCCTTTTCCGCTGGCCATGTAGCATTTCTATTCATTTGTCTCCCATGTGATTTCTTTCTTTTTGTCTTTCAGGTTTGGTGCCTGCACTGCTGTTTTCTGCCCTGTCCGCTGGAACAGGTTCGCCTGTGAAAGGTTCTTGCTCCTTTGCAAGGGGTGCGTGACTGTCTCCGGGATTGCATTCCTGCCGCACTGTGTAACTCTCTCAGCTTTGTTTTCCTTCTCGGGCAACCGTTGGATGAATGACCGGATTGGATTTCGGCGGTGTGGCAGCGATCTCTCTATTCAGTTGGGGCGGAGGGCATATGTCAGGCGCCAAAAATCAATTTCATGTCACATCCTTCGCTCCTCATGCTTTTGTTTCTTGTCCTCACGTGGTCAGCTCCCCGCTGACTGAGCAGCATGACCAGCATCATGTTCGCGCTTGAAGAATAATTCCCCAAAAGGTTTACTGTTAGGGCTTCTCACTTCTTTCTTAAGATGTGTCCCCCCGCTCTGTACTGCTGTGTCCGTCTCTGCCTTGCAATCCTTTACATTTATCTCCCAGCTCTGGACGTCGCAAGCTCTAGTTTCGATTTTGAAAACACAAACTGTTTGGGGTCTACGGTGGTGTAATTCTTCTCTTTCTTATCAACTCTGCGCCTTTCTGACTCAGAGGCCTTGAGTTTGGCACATGCGTGCGCAGATCTTTGGGCCATGGACCCAGGCTGACTGGATTCGGCCAGGGCCGCCAGCAAAAAGTCATGAGTCAGTAGTATATCGAATTTATCTATCTATCTACCTATCTATCTATCTTGCACGCACACACAAACACCAGACTTGTAGCTTTGCTAGTGGACCCATGTTACAGAAGCGATGGGATCGCTGATTGAATTGCTGGCGATGCAT